TGTTTTCTAGTTTTCAGAGTACAGGTCTTCACCTCTTTGGTTAAATTTATTCCTAGGTATCTTATTGTTTTTGGCGTGATTATAAATGGGATTGTTTTCTTAATTCTCTTTGTGCTGTCTCATATTGGTGTATAGAAATGTGGCAGATTCCATAGATTGCCATACGTGGATTTTTTTTTTCTGGGACTTTACTGAATTTGTTTATTAGTTTTGTTTTTCGGTGGAATCTTTCAGAGTTTCTATATAGTGTATCATGTCATCTGCAAATAGTGAAAGTTTGACTTCTTCCATGCTGATTTAGATGCCTTTTCTTTTGTCATTTGGTTGCTGCAACAAGGACTTCCAGTACTGTGTTGAATAGAAGCAGCGAGAGTGGACATCTTTGTCTTGTTCTTGACCTTAGTGGTAAAGCGCTTAGTTTTTCCCCATTAAGGATGATGTTAGCTGTGGGTTTTTCATAAATGACCTTTATTATAATGAAGTATATTCCTTCTAAACCTACTTTGTTGAGGATTTTTATCATGAATAGATGTTATATTTTGTCAAATGCTTTTTCTTTGTCTATTGAAATCATCATATGGTTCTTATCCTTTCTCTTATTGATGTGATATATCCTATTGATTTGCAAATATTGAACCATTTTTGCAACCTAGCAATAAATCCCACTTGATCATGGTGAATGATTTTTTAAATATACCGTTGGATTTGGTTTGCTAGTATTTTGTTGAGGATTTTTGCTTATATGTTGATTGGAGATATTGGCCTGCAGTTCTTTTTTTTTTTTTTTTTTTTTTGTGGTGTCTTTATCTGATTTTGGTATCAAGGTCATGCTTGTCTCATTGAATGCATTTGAAAGTTTTTTCTATTTTTGGGGAACAGTTTGAAAAAAAATAGGTATTAAATCTTCTTTAAATGTTTGGTGGAATTTGCCTGTGAAGCTGTCTGGTCCTGGGCTTTTATTTGTTGGGAATTTTTAAATCACTGATTCAATTTCTTTGCTGGTAATTGGTCTGTTCAATTCTTTGTGATTAATTTTTATATCTCTGTTTCTTATCCTAGATCTTATATAGGAAAGGTTCTTTAAAAAAACAACTATGGGTAGAAGACTTATTATGAGATCTATTAACAAACTTTTTAAATGTATAGTACTATTGTTAACTATAGGCATGAAACACTCTTATAAAGAACTTTATGAGAAGAAATTTTTAAAAAATATTTTATTTATTTGCAAGAGCATGAGCAGGGGCAGGGAAGAACAGAGGGAGAGAGAGAAGCAGGCTCCCTGATGAGCAGGAAGCCCGATGTGAGGTTGGAACCCAGAATCCTGGGATCATGACCTGAGCTGAAGGCAGATGTTTAATTGACTGAGCCACCCAGGTGCCCCAAAAGAAGAAACTTTTCATAAAGATTTAGTTATTTATTAGAGAGAGAGAGAGAGAGAGAGAGAGAGAGAGAGAGAGAGAGAGAGAGAAACATGGGCACAGCAGTGAGGGAGAGAGAAAATCTGAAGCAAACTCTCCTCCGAGCCTGGAGCCCTATATGGGGTGCAGTCTCATGACCCTGAGATAGTGACCTGGGCTGAAACCAAGAATCAGATGCTTAACCAACAGCACCACCCAGGTGCTCTGAGAAGAAACTTTTATAAAATGTCTAGGCTTCCTGAATCCGAACTGACTTAGTCACAGAGCATGTAAGCAAAATCGAGAGTAGGTTAGGTATAGACAAGGTAACAGTGGCTGGAGTCCTTTTCCTTGGAGCAGAAAAGGTTCTGAGATGAAGTCAAGCCATGGACAGAAGCAAGAACCCAGCCTAGGCTGGAAATGGGAGTGTAGCAGTGAGTCAGGGCACACAAGCTGGTGGTGACAGGTAACAGAGCAGAGACAACATGCTTCTGGAAACAGAGTGAAGCTGGATCAGTGTCTTATACTGACTATGGGAATCTTAAGGGCAGAGCTCAACTATACAAAGATGGTAGTTCTGCAGCTGGCCAATAGAGTCAAGGGGCCTCTTTCCATCCTGTAGCAAACTCTCCCCAATCCTTGGCAAACTCTGGCAAATACTTGGCAAATTCTTGGCAAACTCTCCCCAGTCCTTGGCAAATTCTGGTCTATCCTGGGTTTATGAAGACTTTTAATTAGACAGATGCTAAGTCGTTCAAGTCTGTAGCATATCTAACAATTTAATAGGATCTAATACAATTCAGACCCTCGTGTTTATCCCTGGGAAGAACTTCCCACCATTAGCAACATTCACTCTTCTTTATTGGGCACCTACTGTTGAAAGTCCTGATGTTCAACCATGTGGGCAAGGGCTTTGAGCATCCTGTAATCTGGTAGAAAATACACACAAGGACAAAAACACCTGTAAGGTAATGTGTAATAGAGGTGTTGATGCTATTTCCTGATGCATAATATAGATGATAGAATACTAGAATTGAAATTCTAAAATATTTAAGTGAAATAGACCAGTTTAAAAGTCTTATGGATTTTAAGTTATATGCCTCCTCTGTGATAACTGTATAACAATAGTGTCACATTAAAGGCAGTATTTTGAGAAGGAAGCAGCTCATTCTCCCTGATTTTGCATCCTGTTAACAGGAAAGGAAGTCTCTGATGCTTCATATGTAAAAGAGCTTCAGGTAGCCTTAACCTTGAATGATTTTCCCTAGGTTCTCTGATGCCTTCACTCTTCAGGCTGGTCATTTTTAGCCCTGGAAGCTTTGTGCCCTTTAATCAGGCATCCTTACTTCTGTCCTGCTTCTACTAGCTCTGGGATTTTTCTGACCAAAGTCTGGTGGTTCACTTTGAAACAATGGGAGTCCTGCCCCACCCCCATTGCCATCTTGGCCGGTGGGATGGATTTCTTCACCATTCAGTGTGACTATATGTCCCCGAAATACTTTTTAGATGGTATTGCTAGCATGTATATCCCACTTCCTGATGAATGTGTATATACATACATACACTTATATACATACATACTCTTATACATTCATGTATATATATTCTTATACACACACATCAGCTTTTTTTATTGACTGCTATCATCTAAGAATGCTACAATTTTATACCTAGCCGTTTTAATACATGTGATTGTAATCTAATTTCCATAAGTCTGAGGAATCAGTTTGACCCCTCCTGACTGGGACTGAGACACAGAGATTCCTGGGTTGTTTTCCTTGTTGGACATGCGGCTTTCAAATTTGAACCACCATTTGCCTTTACCCAAACTATATATTCAGAAAATGGCTCTGTGTTTCTTCTGGCGCAGAGTTACTATTTACAGCTACACTCTCCATTGTAGTGATGTCCTTTCCAAGATCCTTGTATAATATGGCAAGGACCAGACATTACTATTTTCCCCTAGTACTTCTTTTTTTTTTTTTTCCCCTAGTACTTCTTAAGGCTTAGTTATTTCCTTTTGAACATCCCATAGATAACCTGCTCAGCTGCTCCAACATGTCCTGCAGTATTTCCAACAGACTGGGAAAGGCCCTTGAGGTTGGACAGCATGTGGTTACTGGTCATCTTCTCAAGGGCTTCCACACATACTTTGTCCTCGACTTCTCCTTGTGAATACTGCTCTGGCAAACTCACCACACCTCCTCACCTGCCTGCTGAAGCCAGTGTTGAATTGGCCAATATCTGGCCCAGGTCTCTGGTGCCCCATTGGGCAAAGGGTGCAGGGGTCAAAGTGACCAGCCAGAAAGCCCAAGGAGAGAAGGTAGTTGGTAGAGCACCCTGATCCCTAGCTGCAGAAGCAGAGCATTCTCAGTGGGGACAGTCAGAGGCCTGTCTCAGACCTCACATCTTGCCTAGTGTCCACATCTTCTGTTCTTATCCTGGAAAGGCACAGTTCAGGCCAAGAGGCCATTGTAGCTTGGGGCCCTCATGAAGTTTTTAGTTTGTTGTGATATAGTTCACCTCCCATATAATTCACCCACTTGAAGTATACAATTCAGTGGCTTTTAGTATATTCACAGATACTTTCAGCTATTACCACTGCCAATTTTATAGTATTTTCATCACCCTATGCTTTAGCTACCATCTCTGCCATAATCTCACCCTCTACTTCTCTAGTGCTAGGAACCCTCTAATCAATTTTCTATTTCTGTCTTTGTTACCTTATTCTGGATTTTCACATGAATGGAATATAATATGTGGTCTTTCATGATTGGTGTACTTCACTTAGCATGATGTTTCAAGATTCATCCACATTGTAGCAGGTCAGTATTTCATTCCTTTTCATGGCAGCATAATATTCCACTGTATAGAAATGCCACATTTTGTTTATTCATCTATTGATGGATATTTGGGTTGTCTCCATCTTTTGGCTGTTGTTGATAATGCCACTACAAAATTTGGGTATAAGTTTCTGTGTGGGTATCTGTTCTCATTTCTCTTGAGTATATGCCAAAAGTAGAGTTGCTGGGTCCTATGGTAACTTTGTTTAGTCATTTCAGGAAATGTCAAGCTGTTTTCCAAAGTGACTGCAGCGTTTTGCATTCTTGCCAGCTGTGTATGACAGTTCCAATTTCTCCACATTTTCATTAACCCTTGTTGGTCTGACTTTTTGATTTTAGCCAGCCTGAAATGGGGTGTGAACACCCTAAAAGTGTGTGTGAACTCATGAAGTTTTAGAAGGATTTGGGGGAGGATTTTCCCTTTCTAATATTTTCTAAATCCATTTTATATATACCGAATTTAAATGTGTAAATATATATATAAAACACTTTTAGGTGTGGTATCTGTAAAAGCATGACTGCTAAGATGTCCTATTGTCTATCACAATAATGAAGGAGATGTCAATATTTGCTAATCCAAAATTCTTATTGCTCAAAACCAATGAGGGAAACTTTTTGTAATGTGTGAGGTAAGGGGAAGAAACAGGAAGGGTGGAAAAGTGGGAGCAGGTGGTGTATTTTCAGATATGTTACATCTTTCCCAGGAGATTGCTCCATTACTTATCTCTGTGTCTCGATGGCTCCCTCTGTCTTTCAGGAGGACTGGCATTGGCCCACGTGCTCTTTTTCTACCTGAAGTACTTGGTGCTCTTTGGTGTCCCAGCTCTGCTCATGCGCCTGGATGGACTCACGCCGCCACCCCTCCCTCGCTGTGTGAGCACCATGTTCAGTTTCACGGGCATGTGGAGGTCAGTAATTTGGTTTATGAAAGCCCTCTGGGGATGTCCAGTGGGAAGAGCCGTGGCTTGGCAGACTTCAAAGAGTTTGGGCCGCTGTTCTTTCTCTGTCCCCCACTCAAGGCGCATTTGGCATTTGGGTTTCTTCATCTAATACGATGACAATCTGTGCTTTCTGAACTGCTCAAAAATACTGTCAGGCTATGAAGATATGTGAGATAAAAATTCTCTCCAGGCTATGTACAGATGCACAAAGGGTTATGTTTAAGTGTTTTCTTACTAACTTGGGACATGCTGCAATATATTATTTTATTGCTCCCTGTTTTTTGTGAAAATGACTCTGTGTATGTGAAACTGTCAATTAAAAACAATAGAATTAGGATAATAGCATAGGTCACAGTTGGCATTTACTAGCTCTCAGACCTGGGACAATTTACTAAATTTCTCTAAGTTTCAATTTTCTCCTCTCTTAAATAACAATAATAATAGGGTGATAATACCCATAGTCAAGAGTTGTTTTGAATATCAGATAAGCTAATGCATTTAAGGCATTTGGCATATGGTAGATATTTACAAATGTTAGCTTTAAAAAAAATTTTTTTTTAATTGGAGTTCAATTTGCCACAAATGTTAGCTTTTATCCTTGTGTTATTCCTCTGCTTGGTGCACATGGATAGACAGATGCATTTTCTGAGTTTTCTCACTCTTCTTGACTTTGCCCCAGAAAGGTAGGGTTAGCCTGAAGCTTTTGTCCTGAAACATCTCTCAGCCCCCCTGCTGTTTCTGATTGTTGCCCTCCAGATGGGCTTGCCTACTGTTGTGTGTTTCTTATCACTTCCTGTATGTAACAAGTGACAGGGCTTGCTTTGCGATTTCAAATTTAATGTAGGAAGCAGCGACTGGGGACCTGCACCATCATAGGGTCAGCACTTTTTAGGCATCCCCATTTCCCTCACCCTAGCCTTGGCCCTGCTCAAGAGTTGCTTGTCTGGCTCATTCACCATAGTAAATGATTGTAGATGCTGAGTTTTTTTAAGCCTCTTTAAATGCATTTTATTATTGGTTCCGTTTGCTTCTTAGGATTAGAGATTTCCTATGGTTATTGCAAGTAATGTTAAATAATTGCTTTGATTTGTCCTTAATTACTTCATCAAATATCAAAGTTTGCCCAGTTTTATTGGCAGGGTCAGAGAATGCTACCAAAGGGGTTCTCTCAAGCCACGAGGACACAGAGTGGTTCTTGGTTGAAAGGTGAACCTGTCTGGGAGGCTCTGTTAACTTTTGACCTACTGATAAAATTAATTCACTGAACAAATGGGTCGGGACCCAACATGATTTAGGGTCACGTTACCAGTGACTGGTGTGCGCTTAGCATGGTTTCTCTGTCTTTGTGAATGCTTGCCCTAATGCATTTCTTGGGAAGCATATTCTCCTAAAGGGCTTCTCCAGGGTTGGTTGGTGTAATGAAAACCATGACCCCTGGGCAGGCATGCTAGCTCCAGGCTCCTTGTCCATAGATCTCAACCCATTGATTGTCAGAAGAGGCAGTTTATTTTTTTATTATTATTTTTTTATAAATTAATTTTTTATTGGTGTTCAATTTACCAACATACAGAATAACACCCAGTGCTCATCCCGTCAAGTGTCCCCCTCAGTGCCCGTCACCCATTCACCCCCACCCCCCGCCCTCCTCCCCTTCCACCACCCCTAGTTCGTTTCCCAGAGTTAGGAGTCTTTATGTTCTGTCTCCCTTTCTGATATTTCCCACACATTTCTTCTCCCTTCCCTTATATTCCCTTTCACTATTATTCACATTCCCCAAATGAATGAGAACATACACTGTTTGTCCTTCTCCGATTGACTTACTTCACTCAGCATAATACCCTCCAGTTCCATCCACGTTGAAGCAAATGGTGGGTATTTGTCGTTTCTAATGGCTGAGGAATATTCCATTGTATACATAAACCACATCTTCTTTATCCATTCATCTTTCGATGGACACCGAGGCTCCTTCCACAGTTTGGCTATTGTGGACATTGCTGCTAGAAACACCGGGGTACAGGTGTCCCGGCATTTCATTGCATCTGAATCTTTGGGGTAAATCCCCAACAGTGCAATTGCTGGGTCGTAGGGCAGGTCTATTTTTAACTCTTTGAGGAACCTCCACACAGTTTTCCAGAGTGGCTGCACCAGTTCACATTCCCTCCAACAGTGTAAGAGGGTTCCCTTTTCTCCGCATCCTCTCCAACATTTGTTGTTTCCTGCCTTGTTAATTTTCCCCATTCTCACTGGTGTGAGGTGGGATCTCATTGTGGTTTTGATTTGTATTTCCCTGATGGCAAGTGATGCGGAGCATTTTCTGATGTGCTTGTTGGCCATGTCTATGTCTTCCTCTGTGAGATTTCTCTTCATGTCTTTTGCCCATTTCATGATTGGATTGTTTGTTTCTTTGGTGTTGAGTTTAATAAGTTCTTTATAGATCTTGGAAACTAGCCCTTTATCTGATACGTCATTTGCAAATACCTTCTCCCATTCTGTAGGTTGTCTTTGAGTTTTGTGGACTGTATCCTTTGCTGTGCAAAAGCTTCTTATCTTGATGAAGTCCCAATAGTTCATTTTTGCTTTTGTTTCTTTTGCCTTCGTGGATGTATCTTGCAAGAAGTTACTGTGGCCGAGTTCAAAAAGGGTGTTGCCAGTTCAAAAAGGGTCTTGCCCAAGAGGCAGTTTAGACTGTTGACTGTATTTCACATTCAGAGTAGTTGTCTTCTTGTCCTTTATTATTTTAATTAATTACTTTTTGTCCAATACCCTCTGTTGTCTCTCTACAATAAAGGCAGAGAGAGCATATTTGCCAAGACCTTTGTCATTTTCCATTAGAACTAACCTCAAATCGTGTAGACTCCAGGTTGTTGAAACACTCCACCATCCCTCCCAGTCAAAGTTTTAAGACAGATGTGGGTGAGAGAGTAATAAAAGTTGCTGTGAGGTGGAAGCTCTGGGGTGAGCCCTGAGAGTGATGTGGTCTTAGGCAGAAGTGTTTACAAGAGCTTGTGATGGAATAACATGATCTTTCCTGGGAATGACCTGGACTTTTATCCTGGCTTTTAATTTAAGTTTTAATTTTTTTAAAAAAAGACTTTATTTATTTATTCATGAGAGACACACACACAGAGAGAGGCAGAGACACAGGCAGAGGGAGAAGCAGGCTCCATGCAGGGAGCCCGATGTGGGGCTTGATCCCGGGACTCCAGGATCACGTGCTTGGCCAAAGGCAGGTGCTAAACTGCTGAGTCACCCAGGCTTCCCTTATCCTGGCTTTTTAAATTTTAAGCATATACATGGGTCTAGATTTTCCCCTTAGTATTTTTCAGTTTGGTGAAGGGTTTTCTAGATTGCCAGTTGTACTTAGAAACGCCTTGGTCTTTGTTCTTTACACACAATGACCATTCCACATTTAGTAGTTGAATTTAGGAAAGGAGGTCAACTCTGTGCTATAGTGAACAATTTAAGGCTCAGAAGAAGTAGTTTTGAATAGAAAAAAAAACAATAAAAATTATAGCTTCTTTTTTACACCATTTATGGATATTCCTCTGCCCATCAGAGGAAGTTTACCATGTGGTGTTCAGGGGCTGGTAGCCTAACCTTACAGTGGCCCTGGTCCCCACTCTAACTTTTATCTATAAGATGCACATTGAGGGAAAATAAAGTTTTTAATTTCTAGTTTCTATTTACATCTAGCTTTACATTAATATTTCTGGGCCATCTATTGAGGGCTTGAGGCAGATAGGGAATTGCTTTCTGTTCCTGGATGTAGGTCTGGGAAAAACTGAGTCAGGAGTAACTGTGAAAGCTGGCCATGCAGATTATTCTGGGCAGTGGCAGCCATTCACATGGGGGCACAAAGGGAAGAGTGGATGGGCAGTGGAGGGAAGCAATTTAAAAACAGTCTTTGCAGATTGTCTTGTGGTTACCTGACCTTCTAGAAAGTCCACACTGAATGAGTTGTAGAGCCAATGATGAGAGGTGAATTTTTAGCCTCCCATTTTAAAAGCAGCTTACACACCTGAACACCATGCTGACTGATTGCACCATATTTCAGTCCACTTAACAGTGAGAGAAGACTTGAAGCCAGCAGTCCGCTGTATCGGAGGAAGCTGAGCTCTACATCATAGAACAGATGAAATTGGCCATCAGCAAAGAGATAATGTTCCTTGACATGCTAGTTCCAATTGGTCATGAAAAATTGCTGTTCACCCAGACAGCCCTGACCTGAGAGTTAGGAGCCAATGGGTTTGCTTATATATTTTTCCCTTCTAGCTCTTTTGTTTCATATAATTCCTGTTCAGATACTTGCAGGCATAACAAAACCCCGAGGAGTATGTGTATTCCCCCTTGTGTGATTTCTCTGTGGCCTTACAGACCTGGGAAATTGAGAATTTTCTGCTTAATTTTTAGGTTTCATGTTTTAATTTAGGTAGGCTGAGATCTGTAATGAGCATCTTTTGCCGGGAGTCATTAAAGATGACATTGCATGTCTGAGGTTTCAAATTAGGAGTCTGATCATGTTCCCCTGATTTGATTTTTAGCTATGGAAGCAAAGTGTGCAAAGTGATAGAATTTCCCATGGCGGCTGGTGAGCTATGGGTCAATTTCAATTATCTCAGGAATCTCGCACAGCTTGCCCTCTGCCTTTCTTGAATTATGATGCTCTCAGGTCTTCATAGGCAAACTCATGCATCACAGCTTAACCCCGAGAGATTTGGGCACTGCTAGACCTTAATGTGTGGGGACATGTTGGGGCTGGGGCTGGGGAGGAGCCTGAGCCCCTTCTTTCAGTGGGGAATTGATTGCATGAACTTTTAGGTCAATAGAAGAATTTAGGTTCCTAGATAGAGAGTTGGTCCAGGCACGTGGTAGATGGTGAAAACTAGCTCTACAGACTGCTAGCTTTACGTTTCGTCCTGCCTTTGAATCATGTCTGACCTCGGGTTGCAGGACAGGATGGCAAGCAT